CCCCTGAGTTTGGTTTACAGGGTGAACTACAGAAGACGTTGCAAATGTTCTAAACAGTCGCACATAATCGCTTGAGACAAAACCAGTAGAATTTGAGCTTGGAAGTATCAGTGGTGTCCTTAGTGTGCAGATGTCGGCAATGACAACTTATGCTGTGGCTGGTACTTTGAAAGAGATTGAATGGCAAAAGCATGGAAACAAATGGACATATTTGCAAAATAAATATACCATTCCATACGAAATTTGCAAGGTTGATTTGCTTATTGGTGTCAACCATCAAACAATTGTTATCATTGTTAATAATTCTAAGAATACTACCTCATCATAGCCTTAAATCCTGTATTTTGGCTGCAGACACACTATTACGAAATCTTCAGTTGATGGTTGAGACAGGTCGCAAAGAGGTCCAGATGCGGGCTGTCCAAAACGGAGGTTATCCAGGTAAAAGCGTCTGTGCAAACAGTCCACTCTGTAGGTACATTCCTCCCCCTCCGGGATAGGCTGCCCCCTAGTGTGTTCAGTTTGCCTGGAATATGTCTTGCTTCTATCCGGCAGGTGAATGAGTTGGCGAAGGCAAATAGCTGAGTAGTTTGCGTCATCAGCGAACTGAATTTGGTTCCGCCTTGCTTCTGAATGAAGGCCACCACTGTCGTGTTGTCTGTGGCAATCAGGATGGATGATTTGATGAGGCGATCTTTCCACGTCTGGAGAACATAATAGATTGCTTTAATCTCTCTGCAGTTTATGTGTAGAGCTGTTTCCACCTCGACCATCAACCCTGAACTTGGAGGTCATTCATGTGAGCTCCCCAACCTGAATCTGATGCATCTGTGAACGGGTTGTGTTTGAGAGCATGTAGTCTGAGATGAATCCCCCTCATTACATGATCTCGTCAAGTTCACGAGGTTAGATCTTGGCTCAGGTGGGGAGGTATGAGTACCTGTGTATCCAGGGTCTGAGATCGTAGGGAGTTGATCCAATTCTGTAGCGAGTGTAATTGTAATCTTCCTCTGTGAGTCATATTTTGTAGAGTGGACAGCGTTCCCATGAGAGACAAGCACCATCTGATCAATCTGGTAGGTTGGTCTTGGACTGAGTTGATCATGGCTATGGACTTGTTTAACCAGTCCTCCGGGGGGCAAAGATATCCTGTATGTAGAAGAAATCTGGCCCCGATGTAGGCTATGTTTTGTCCCGGATAAATCTCTGACTTGGTCGGATGGCTAAGGAAACCAAGATAAGACATAAGTTGGGTTAGGAATGTCACATCCTGAAGAAGCTGGGTGTGTTCCTGATTGACGGCCAGGAAATTGTCTAGGTATCCATGAAGTCGTACCATCTGTAAATGGGCGAAGTTGATGACCGGCACCATTATCCTGGTGAAAAACCAAAGGGTTACTGATATGCCAGACAGTAGGACCCAGAACTTGTACCAACGGTCGTTTGCTGCGAAATGGAGTTACTTTCGTGATGAGCGGTGGATTGGCACATGGCGATATGCATCCTGAAGGTCAAGGCTGATGACCCAATATCCTGTTCCGAGTGAAGAAGGGGCGGTCAGGTAGCCTGGTGGTTAAAGCCTTCGCTCATCAAGCTGAAGACCCGGATTCGATTCCCATCATGGGTACAATGTGTGAAGCCCATTTCTGGTGTCCCCAGCTGTGATATTGCTGAAATATTGCTAAAAGCGGTGTAAAACCATACTCACTCACTCACCGAAGTGAAGAACGTAGTTTCCTGACTTATTCAAACTGAAATCGTGGTGGTGGGACCATGTACTTCTTGTTGAGCATTTTGAGGTCTATACTCAATCTCCGAATGGCCCGTTTGGTGAGGAGGGTCTTGATGGCAAGGTCAGCTGCATCCAGTTTCGCACCTTTCAGGTGAAACCTGTGTCCCTCCAGATGGGATACAATTTGAGGGCGCTTGAGAAAATGTATCTTGTACCAATGATGTATAACGTCTAAAAAGTTGTCGGCCGTAATGTGTTTCCAATTTGCTGCGTATGACAAAAGATGCCCTCCCACTGGACCCTGTTATGTTGAATGGCGGGAGTCATGTATCGTAATCCAAACTAGTTTGATAGGATCTGCGACCTGGAGGGGGGAGTAACAAATCATCTTCTATCCCCGCAACCTCCGAACCTCTATGGCCAGATCCATGGCGTTTGGAGTCTGAGTTCAGAAAAAGAGTCTGGCTTGTCATAATGCCGTGATGCCTGGTAGGATTCTTCTTTTCCTGATGGGATTATATATACTTCTTTCATGGTGGTTCATGGAAAGAGGAATCCCTGGCTGGTTCTCATGCTCTTTGGGCGGGTGCTGTGGTCCATGTGCTTTGACTGCAAGGTTGATGATAGACACTTGAAATCTTTCTGTCGTGTCCTGTCTGACCTCGTCTAGGATCGTGCCCAGCTTGTTGTTAAAGACCGTCAGTGATGTGACTTTACCCAGCTTGCTGAACTAGTCATCCAGTGGCTGTGATACATGTGTCTGATGCAGCTTCTTCCTCATAGTCGGAAGTGGAAGCTGATCATTGTGACGGACCTTCTGCACGTGTGTAACTCATTTGGTCTAGGATCCTGGAGGTAACTTGGCCATGGTAAAGTACGGTGGATGTGGGATGACGAAGACGGAGCATGGCTTCCGGCATACTTGAGCATCTCCAGAGGAGGCGACTGTTCATTCTGTGGCTGGGTGGTCGGTATGTAGTGATATATTGATTCTATCATGTCTAAAAAGGACAACGCCGGTCCATACTCCCACGGAGGTGACGTGACCGGTTGATCTGCGCTCTCTCATTGTGACGCCCCAGGTGTGTGCAGGAACCTTTGGCTTGTCTAGCCATGCCTATGGAGCCTGTGCGGGACTGGCTTGCTCTAGTGACTGTAGCAGACGATTCAGTTCGGTCCATGCTGCCCATGCGGTTTCTTTGACGGCTCAGCTGGTCGGCTCTGGGGTAAGGCATTCTTGCCACTTCCCTGGTCGTCTCGAGATATGGGTGTGCTGGACTTCCTTGATAGCCTAGGCTTTGATGATTGCTTAACCCCGTCTGGCCTCATGGCCGGGGAAGACTTCTTAGCCTGCCACTTCTTTAGCTACCTCTGAACTGATGTCCACCAGATGGGTGTTAATTATATCTTCGATGGAGGCCTGTTGTTGGGCGAAAAGTCTCTCCAGCATGCTGATTTGAGAACCCAATGCTTGAGCTAATTTGGGAGTTGAAGGGGTTGAAGGCCTAGAGATCGTCTCTGCAGGGGCCGATAAGATTGAGTGGACTTTCTTCTTCGCAGCTTCCTTGTGCTTCGCCTTGAGCATGGAGGCGTCTAACTTCATGACACAAGTCACATCTCGCCTCTGCCGAACATGAAGTCTCCCTACACTTCCAACAGAAGTTATGTGGATCTCCAGTTTATCCTGAACTGGCCACACTTCTGGCATGTCAGCAGGGAAGAGGAGGATGCCATCGTGAGAAATACACAAAAACAAACCCTAGTTTACGCACGTTGTCCATCCAGATTGTAATAATATTTCTGACGAAATTAATAAAAGAGTGTGACTACCTTATACCAGGTGCTAGATGATAACAAAAAAACAGGTGTTGACTCACACACAGGGAAGAAATGACGTTGTCCCCCCCCCCCCCCCTTTTTGCACAGATGAGCTGAAGACCTACATGTGTTATTAGGGGAACAACTTGTTGTGTGTAGTTGACAATGAAGAGGACTTCTGTTGAAAATCTGACGATTTCGTTATAGTGTGTCTATAGTGTCTATAGTGTCTATAGTGGACAATACAGGATTTATGGCCATGATGCAATAGAGGTTAAGGATTCGTAGGAATTATTTCGATTTGCACCAGTCATTAAGAGACTAACTCCATTTGGATGGACATGCATAGGTCGCTTGTCTGATCAAGGTATCACATGGCTGTTAAATGTCTTCACACACTGAAAGAATGTTGACAAAAAAACAGAAATAGCCAAGGCCTACGAAGGCATTATTTGTGAGTACCTGTCAAAAAGGATACATTCGCTAAGTTCCACATGATGAGCCATTCAGTAAAACAAAGTGTTATCTTCCTCACTTTCCCATTTTATGACCTCATGGAGTACCACAAAGGTTCGTATTGTGTTTGATGCTTAGATAAACACAATGATCTCTCTTTAAAAGAAGCAATGCATGCAGGACCAAAGTTGCAAAGTGAGTTTTTTGATGGTTTGCTTTGCTTCAGTGGATATGATAAGAAATCCTGAATTCAGCAGTGTGGTATTTGGAGTTATTGGCCCATCAGCTCTCTGACTTTGCATACCTATGTTGATGCCTCACAGATTGCATATGAAGATCTGGGGTAGAATAGGTCTTCAGCAACAAATTCTTGCTGTAAAAGGTGACGATGCTTGTAATAAAAGGCGACTAATGGGATGGGTGGTCAGGCTCACTGACTTAGTTGATGCATGAAAGCTATCAGTATTCCCAGAATAGAGTTAATGCCAGCGATTCTAGGTCTATGATCGACACAGAATATCATGGAAGCCTTTGATGTTGACCTTAAAAAGGTGGTCTTCTAGTAAGACAACATGAACTTGTTCTGCTGGATTAGAAATAACAGCAGAATTTTTAAATCTTTCATAGCCAACAGGGTAGGTCAAATCCAGGAAGTTACAAGTCCTTCACAGTGGAGATATACTCCTACAGAAGCCAGACCAACTGACCAACAGCTCAACAGTTGGTCGCTAGTTCATGGTGGTGTTCAAGTGCCTCTTATTTAGCATGAAAAGTCCATTTACATGCACCCACACTGACTGTCACGGTGAGCAAATAACCATTCTAGTTTGTTTTTTTATGTTTTACAGTGTTTACTTATTTTTTTCTCCATAGTGTGAAGAGTTTTACAGTCCACTGTGTCACAAATAGATTGTGGAAGAATAAATTATATTCTCCACTCATGCCTGACAGTTAAAATATCAATAAATTGTTAAAACAAATATTCTGTACGTACCTCCTTCACCGGCAGTCTTATGAATTTGTTCAATGATTCTCTTTAAGTGCACAGGAAGTTCCATTCCTGGCTTCAAAACAAGAACCAGACATGACACATTGTTTTGTGCTTCTGAAGTGGCTGGCGGTGTGGGATTCATAAAATCATCAATCTGAAATTAAAAGGAAATCCAAAGCTTTGGAGGGTGCTATGTTCTAAAGTTCTTCATACATCAACCAAATTTAAGCTCACCATTACATGGAACCATCAAGGTATCTAGTTCTAAGTCTTCAGAACCTAACTTATCAAAACAATATATGTTATATAACTGTATAGTATTCACGACCGTCCGTACGTACGTCCGTACGTCCCACCTTTGTTGCCTCGATATCTCAAGAACTAAACACTGGATTGTCTTCATATTTGGAACTATGGTGTATATACAGACTCCGCAGACACCAGTTGGTTTTGGTGACCTTGACCTCATTTTCAAGATCACAGCAGGCAAATCTGCTTTTGGAGTTGGAAAAGGGTGTTGCCGCGATATCTCAAGCACTAAACACTGGATTGTCTTCATATTTGGAACCATGGTGTATATACAGACTCCGCAGACACCAGTCGGTTTTGGTGACCTTGACCCCATTTTTAAGGTCACAGCAGGCAAATCTGCTTTTGGAGTTTGAAAACGATGTTGCCGCGATATCTCAAGAACTAATCGCTGGATTGTCTTCATATTTGGAACTACGGTGTATATACAGACACCGCAGACACCAGTCGGTTTTGATGACCTTGACCCCATTTCCCAAGGTCACAGCAGGCAAATCTGCTTTGGAGTTGGAAAACAGTGTTGCCACAATATCTCAAGAACTAATTGCTGGATTGTGTTCATATTTGGTACTATGGTGATTATACAGGCAGGGGACAATGCTTCTTATCCTTTCAACAATGAATTAATAGTGTATTCTAAGATGCTTCACTAAGATTAAAGGAACTGACTGTACTTTACCTTAGCAAGATATCACACACTAGATAGATAGATTAAAAACTAACCATTACAAATATTCAAAGAGTCTAATCTACACATGCATCAATGTCACTTTTTATACTATCAAAATACAAGCTATAGACCACTAACAACCAAAGCTAGACCACCTAACTGGGGTCCCCTTGGTCTAACAAGGAAATACTTTCTTCCTGAGGTCCCCTTGATCTAACAAAGCTTGACCACCTTATTTGGGTCCCCTTGATCTAACAAAGCTAGACCCCCTTACTGGGGTCCCCTTGACCTAACAAAGCAAGACCACCTTATTGGGGTCCCCTTGATCTAACAAATCCTTTGTAGAATCGTTCTGTCATCACTGTCAATCAAGATGACGCATCCATATCAATAAAATGATTATTGAAAATTGGTGAAATTATTTCTTTAAACATGGACTATTCCCTGGGAAGAAATATGTAAAGATGACCTCAACTGATCCTTGGGTATTGCCAAACATATGAAAACCACTGTCTGTGCCACAGCAACAACAAAGTTGTTGGAGGCGGGTGCTGGTATGGCTGTCACTGGACACAGCAATCCTTGAACAGTTTTATAACATGTACACCAGTGGCTAAAAAAATGACCATTGTTGCTCTTTTCTCGCCATGCTCATCCTGCAGTGACGCCATTTCACACCTCAAGCATTCGAAAACGATGTTATGTTATCCAACCAACTCGTTAAGCCGCTCCATTCATGGCTTGTAGTTGCTGATGTCTGCGCACATTTGTGGTGAAAACAAAGTTGGAACTTTTACAACGTAGTGATTGAGTAAGTGAGCTGGGCATAATGCCACTTTGAACAGTATTCCAGTTATATCACAGCGTGTCAGTTTAATGTGGGAGGAAAGCCTGAAAGGATGCAGGTTATTTACCACTTTGACGTCTTTGATAAGCAATTAGAAAATTAGAAGTTTCACCTGATGAAGGGGCAAGAGGTAAATCTAAACATTGTTACAAAAAACAAAAGGATTTGTTCTCCATAAAAAGTGTCATGTATTCATGTATTCACTACAGGTATGGTGCTGACTAATCTTGAAACATGTTCGGGGTGAACTGGGGTTCAAAACCACAAACATAGGAACAATGGTTGTCATAGTTGATAATTCAAAGAACACTACCTTTATTACATCATTGCCAAATTCCTGTATATGGGCTGCACTAACACTAAAACTGAAGTTTTAGATTTTCAACAAGTCCCTGCCACACTTGACAACCAAATCAGTGATCTCAAATCACTGTGTAATGGACTTGAATATGCCTGTGGTATAGAAAACTCCACGCTATGGTGCATACACTATTTGTTTTTCATGGATTTTATGCTTGTAAATAAAAACCTATTGTTGCATATGGAACAATCTCTTAATGTATTTTTTAATTTCCGATGAATGTCATCAATCGTCACTCCCACTTATAATGGTGTCGGTATTAGATAAGTAAGGAGGTGCATGAATCAATATATTCATAGATATATCATGTCAATGGGATTCCCGGACAATCAGCATCAATTATGTCGGTCGCTTGTAATCAAATTGATAGTACTGAATCTTATGTCTACTGGGCAGGATACAAGGAGAAAGTGATGTTGAAGATGTAGCCTGTTTCCCCTCTGAAATTACATCGAGAATCCAATGGTCAGACTCAGATGTGATTTGCGTCCAATGTTCAGTGTATGACAAAAGAAGCAGACATGAGTGTTATGTTGAAAGATTGAAAAATAATCCCTAATAGTCTTTAATAGAAATGAATCCTTCCGTGACGTCATTATTTTCTTCCCAGCAGGCTCTCCAAAGGCTCCTTAGGGCATTTGGATTGGAAAGCTTTTGCCACCAATATTAAATGTTGATACTTGGAAATGTTCCATTGTATATTGACTTGTCGAGCTTGTCATTAAGGTCTTTTGTTGCTGTCACAGGTTCAGACACAACCATCCTTCTTGACAGATTGCAGACAGCTCTTGAGCATATCTGATATAGGAGCTGCTGTGTTATGTGTTGATTCCCAAATGGAAACACTATGTTAACCCAGAAGTCTGTACGTAAAATTGTGAAACCAACATCCAACAAACAAATGGTATACAATTAACAATTTTATTACAAAATTAACTACATTTACAAATCAACACAAATTACTGAACTGCAATGACGATGCCAGAAAACATTAGAGTTGTAGTACTATATTAAATGGCATTATATAGAATGATGGCAGTGGTCAAAAGTCAGTGATAATGATGTATATTCACCCAGTGGTGACAGTGGTCAAACTTAAAAGATGGCCAAGGCAGGGAATCTGGGGTGATCTTAACATGAAAGCCTCTCTTGATGTAATATCCAACGAATTGTGAAATGAAATGTGAGAGATGCGAGAAGCATGCTCTTGTCCCCTTATATATACACTAACTAGCTTCCGGAATATTTTACACAGTGTCAGACCAGTCCACTGTTACTTGAAACGTAAATGCTCCGCCTGCACGACTGGTTATTAATACCAATCTCAGATTACCTCCTGAACTGAACTTGCATGCTGGTAATCTCGCTGAGAATTTTAGGATCTGGAAACGTCATATTGACTTCTATATGACAGCATCTGACTGTGCTTAAACAGTACCTGAAGCTCAAGTGGGAACTATTATCAATCTTGGAATTGAGGCTCTCTTGAAAGCTTATGAACATTTTGAATGGTGTGAAAGAGATAAGGATGATCCCCAGTATGTGTTTGCGGTGATTAAGGACTATTGTAACCCTCGTCAAAACGAAGTGGTAGAATCCTACTAGTTCCTGACAGCTCCATATTTTGAATCTTTGAATCAAGTTGTCACTGAACTTCGATTTATGACGGCACTATGGTGATAAAGAAGAACGATTGATCCGTGTCAAGATAGTGTTCAGCATGTCCGGAAAAACTTAACAACTTCTCTTGCCAGATGACAACCTATATCTGAAGAAAGCTATTAACATATGTCAGTCCAAACAGGCAAATGTCATGAAAGAACCAAATAAAGACAGTAAACTGAACAAAATCAAATCAAAACCTTAGCCACCTAAAACTAAATCAAACAAAAGAAAGGAAAATGGGAAAACTTGCATATTCTGATCAAACAATCATCCTTTGACCAGTTCAAAATGTAAAAGACAAAACCATTTTGCAAACTGTTGCAAAACCAAGAATGTGAGAACTGTTGGTGCAGAAGTTAGCGACATCAATGATGATTCCTCTGATGATGCAAGGTAATCGTCGAGAATGATCACAAGTCACTAGAAGTAATCCTATGAAAACCCCTGAGTAATGCTCCTCGTAGACTCCAGGAGAACATGATGAAACTACATCGCTACGATCTTGACTTCAGTTACAAGAAAGGTACATCACTTGTGATAGCTGATACTCTGAATAGAGCGTATCTCACTGATGACGAGTATCGACCAAGAATCATAAACATCAAGGTGAATGACAACATCAATGATTCCAGGCAACGGGCAAATCCTGAAGTTGAAAATCTGCAAATACTGATCGCAGTCATCACATCAGGCTGGCCGAATAGTAAGGGCCAAGTACAATAAGTTTGTACACCATATTTTAATGAGAGAGATGTCATTGTTAAGGGAGAGGCAATTGTCATCCCTAAGAAGTTATGTCCTGACATCAAGCAGAAACTTCACAAGTCGCACAGCGGAACTGATGATTCGACAGGTGAGAGGAATGGTGTATTGGCCCAGATTGACCCAAGAACTGAAACAATTGGCTCAAAGTTGTGAAGCCTGTCAGGAAATGGCAGCTCGTACTACCAAACCACTTCTGAAACAGCACACGGATGGTGATGCTCCCTGGATGAAGATCGGACTTGATCTCTTCGAAATCAAAGGTAGACGGTACCTGATCTCGGTCGACTATTACTAAAACTTTATAGAAGTTGACTATCACAAGAGAACAACTTCCAGTGTGGTAGTTGTGATTCTCAAGAAACAGTTTGCCTGATTTGGGATTCCAGAAACCATTGTGTCTGACGGTGGACACCATTTCACATCTGGTGAATGTGAACAGTTTATCAAGAAGTGGTAAATCTCACACAACACTTCATCACCTCTTATCAATGACAAATGGAAAGGCAGAGTCTGCGGATATAGTCATGAAACACATGATGCTGATATGTTTGAAAATGGTTAGGATCAATTTGAAGTTCTAATGGAACAGAGAAACACACCTAGTCAGGATACAGGACTTAGTCCCTGTCAAATGATGTTTGGCTGACAGACAAGAACACTACTTCCAACACAAGAGCAAAAAGTTGGAAATGATGACGTCAAGCATAAACAGCAACAGAGAAAGGAGAGTGTATGGAAATACTACAACAAAACAGCTCATGACTTGCCATTCCTGTCAATTGGACAGAATGTATATTTCCAGAGGAAGGATAATGGTAGGTGGGTTCTGGGTAAAGTGATAGACTGTCTTGAAAATGATGCTTACAGAGTTCATGCACAGGACGGTGCTCAATTCAGACGAAGCAGGATTCATACCCGTCTAAACAAATTGGAAGCTGTTATCTATGACAAGTCTCCAAACATGGTGAACATGAAATGACAGACCCGGGGCATGGCAACCTTGGAGGGAGGGATGATGACGGGTGGTGTTGGAAAGGCCCATGGGACCCTGGCTGTTCCCGTGCAGTTTGTTATCCAGTGGTGACAAAGACTCTGGTATGCTATGAGCACGTGGAGGCTGTGCTGTCATGCTGGCGTCACTAATAGGGTTGTTGACGGCAAGCTTAGCATCTCTACTGATGACTGGGGTTTAATCCGAACGTTTTGGGTTTGATACATCTAACTTGGACTGGCGACTGCTTGTTGTGGCTTTGTAGTGTGCACCGTCAGGTGTTCGTGCGGCTTTGCTGTTGGTGAAAGATGGACCAGACCCGTCCCCTATACAGCCTCTTGGTAGGGGATTCTTCTAGGCCTATTGTTCTTTGTACTGTTTGAGCTCAGTCGATAGCGTAGTCATGGCCGGCTTCTTCCAACATGCTGATGGAGAAGCTGGGGGGCGGCCGAGGCTGGTTAGGTGCCTTAGAGACGTGGGGGAAGGAGTGTCCTGGCTCCCAGGAGCGAATGGGTTCACATCATGCTTGTCCATGGTCACATGGTGACCGTGGTGGTCAGGATTCACCAGGTACAGCTTGGGAGTTGCTATCCTGGCTACTGCCTGTTGTCTTGCTGTCTGTCCCGCCTTGTGTCTACCTCAGGGTTAATAAATGGAAGTGAGGTAGTATAATAAAATATTCTACCAAGAAATCTGACTTCGAATCTTTAGCATCGTGGAAAGGAGGTATGACGACGAGTGGTCTATGGAGTCAATGTGGACCCTGTGTGGTTCATCATCCAACCCTGACCAGGACTCATTATAGTACTACATGGGTCCTGTCATGTTGTGGCTAACGGAACCTGTAGGCTGATGGCCCGCTACGGTTGCCAATGGTGACTGTGGATAATGTATGTTTCTGTGAAGCCTGTGCAGGGTTGGAGTAGGATCTGTGCGGAGGCTGGGGTGATCCTGTAATGGTAGGCAACTTGTTGCTCGCATAGTCCATGCGGGAACCATGTGGTGGCCACAGTGATCCCCGCATGGTTGGCAGAGAGTCTGGGCCCCATGGGATTACCTGCAGACTGACTGTCTTGAGGACCATGTGGAGACTGCGACTGTCGGGAATCTCAACTTGGTAAAGCATGGGAGATTCTATCTTGATGACAAGCTGTTGTTGTCTTCTCATGTGTGCTGTTCAGTGGCAATAGAGGAGGAGGATCTTGGCTTGGGGATTCTTCTGAGCCTGTTCATCCTGTGACAGTAGCATGAGTGTCAGCATGTAGCACAGAGCATGACAGACTGTCTTGAGTACCGCGTGGATACCATGGCAGTCAGGAACATGCCTTACCAAGTAAATACCTGGTAGAGAGTACCAGGATTCTGGGATGATAATAGTCTCTGGAGTCTGCGATATTGTGCTGTAACTCACAGAGGCTGGACAGTTACATTGGTCATCCAAACACCCGCAAAGGAGTAGGAGGATCCGTTCCCGGTCGGCATGGTTGTCGTTCTTCTGTGGTCACAGGTACTGATCCGAGCAGAATGCAGAGATCATGACATCCTGAAATTTAAGGTCGAGCCAAATTGATGTTTTCTTAACACTTGGTATCATCACTATTTGGCAGTGATTCATACACATATGACCAAGTCAGAATCGTACGGGACTGATCTTAGCATGAAGGCAATGTTCAGAAGTACAACGAAGCGTAAAAACTGATGTTGACTTGTGTTGCCCTTTTTTTCAATACAATAAATATTTGCTATCAAGATAATTACTGCATTTTGAGTCAATCTAAATAAGTGCAGAATGACAGATCTCAACAGTTATGAATGACATATGAAACTACAAAGTAATATTTCATTCAAAAACATGATTCATATGAAAGCTTTCATAATTTTTTTTAGTAAAATCATAACGATCGATAATTAAGTATTAATTCAATATTCACTTTCCTAATTGTGTTGTGCTTGAGGAAGATTGCCACTTTACAGAGCTAGCCATGTACTACAATTCTTCGGAGAAAGTGGTGACATGTTTTTACCTTTCCAGTGAATTTGACCCTTCCTTGGATAATACTCAATATGTCTTCAGTTTTGATGTGGCGGGATTCAAACACTCCAGCCATGTCATACAGAGTAACGCAATCTCCCAAGGTTGTAAACTGAAACTGAAGTACAATACTAATAAGAAGGGATCAGTGAAGATATCCTAAAATAGTTTCAAAATAAGTCAAGATTAAATAAATTTCTAACAATCCTGCGAACATTGCTGGTATAATCGTGTAGCTATACTCAATATTGTCCCATCACTGTAGCTCACATGCCCCTGGTATTGACGTCAACAAACGTCAGCATCAATATTATAGTATCTCAGGTGAGGTAAAATGGGGTTCAACGTCGCGTCCAAGATTATTGCACTTACATAGCGACGTGTGTGCATGCGTGTGTGTGGTGTATTATATCTCAGAGCTCGGTGTATTGTCTGTGCCCGAGTGTCCCAAATGTTGTAGGTTCGGCTGTAATGCATGAATGAGAGTCATATCTGCTGTGGAGCACCTTTTACACCACGAGAGGAGGCCTTCTATACCAATTGGTAGAAGTGTGTGGACTTTAGAGAGTATTGAGTTGAAAACAAAGTAGCAATCAATTCCATCAATGCACTCCATCTAAGGCTGAGAACTTTTCAGCCACCCCTCATCACTATATTAAAATATAGGACTGCAATTTCATAGTTGAGATGGTGCTCTCACCATCTTCAAATAGAGTGACTGAGTTAAAATTTAACGACGCATTGGCAGTATTTCAGCCATATAGCGACGAGACCAAACTAATATATACACAATTAAGTTATTTATGCAATGACATATTTAAAAACAATTTATGAAACATATTGGAGCATACTATATTTAAAAACAATAGATGAAACATATGAGCATTACAAAATCATTAATACAGTTTTAACAGGCTATAGGCCACCAGCAACCAAAGCTAGACCACCTCGCTGGGGATCATGGGGACTTACAGTACTTCTGCTTCCTGCATGATACCCTAGCAGGATTTACGTCATCACTTTAGCCACTGGTGGTTGTGCACAATACTAGCCAATATTAAAAAATACTCATCAATGAGTTGGCTTAAAACACTGGTTGATGATAGTTACATCAATTACTATAGGATTACGTGTCACACAGGGGGACAATATTTTTACGCTACGTTTACCTCCTGGACAGAGCCTTTAATAATGTCAGTTGCTAAAAGCATCACACCAAATTTAAAAACAAGCATTTGATTATTCACATACACATTTTAAATTTATTATACAGACCGATTTCTTTTAAGTAATTAATGATGAGATGCCCGCTGATACGGGAAAAGAGATCTTTTAGATTTACACTTTGATAATGTGAATCCCTCGCGATTGCAAAGTCCAGACAGTCAAGCAATATATGCTTGACGGTGAACCTTTCATCACAAGGGATACACTTAGGAGGTTCGTCCTCATCTGTCTTAAGCAGATATTTGTGTGTCAACCGACTGTGGCCAATACGACACCGTCGTAAAACGACCTCGTCATGTCTTGACTGACAACCCAAGTAGGTATGACCGATTGTTGGTTTCAATTCGTGGATTTTATTGCTTCCTACTTGGGTGTCCGACCTCTTTTGCATAAGATCCTGAGTATAAGATTTGATGGTAGGTTTGAAATCACTGTACGGGATACGAAGTGGAGATAACGGTTTGTCAGGAGCTGCTTTAGCTGCAGCATCGGCTTTTGAGTTACCTGTTATGCCTACATGACTTGGTAATCAGCAAAAGACGATGTCACATTGGCTAGTGGAAAGATCATTATAGAGTTCTAAAATGTCAAGGATAATAGGGTGATATGGTGAGACACTTTTACGTGCCTGAAGGCAAGATAACGAATCAGAGAAGATGATGAAATTTTTAGATTGGTTTTGTTGTTTAATATAGGTCAAAGCTGTTAGGATAGCTTTGGCCTCAGCAGTAAAAAGTGAACTAAAATCTGGGATTCTTAAGGATACAGTTCTGGATCCAACGATGGTGGCACTTGCAACTTTCCCACCATCCTTGGACCCGTCTGTAAAAATGGACCTGTGAGAATTATATTTGGAGCGTAATTGGTTATATGATTGTTGATATACCAAAGAATTGGTATCCAACTATTTTAGATTGGTTAGAGTGAGGTCAACTTCTGGCTTCACCATCTGCCAGGGAGGAGAAGACAGAAGACGATTGGGTGATATAATATTTAAGTCTATTTTAGCTGCAGTGATGTGTGGTTGAATTCTGATCCCAAGTGGTGGAACCAAGTTTGATAGATTTCGAAACAGGTTTTCATATTGAGGATGGAAAACACAATTGAATGCAATTTTATGATATATTGCAGTGAAATTTTAATGCGGCGCAGTTCGAGTGAAGTTTCATCGGCCTCCACATACAAACTGTCCATGGGAGAGGTCCGAAAAGCTCCAAGACAGTCTTAGGCCTTGATGGTGTATAGTGTCCAATTTTTCTAAATTGCTTTTGCAGGCTCCACCATAGACAATGGAACCATAGTCCAGTTTGGAGCGTATTAATGATCTGTACAAGTGAAGGAGGGTGGTCTGATCCCCTCCCCACTCGGAATTTGAAACGACTTTCAACAAGTCGAGAGCCTTCAGGCACTTTGCCTTGAGATATTTAATGTGTGGTAAAAGTGTTAGATGACGGTCAAATATGAGGCCCAGGAATTTGGCCTCCTCTACTACCTTGATAGGAGTACCATCTAAAAATAAATCTAGATCCTTGTGAGGTTTGTATTTACGACAAAAGTGAATACAGTTTGTTTTGGATTTAGAAAATTTGAAGCCGTTTTCGTTTGCCCATTATTGAATTTTGTTAAGACAGAGCTGTAGCTGTCTTTCTATTGTATTCATATTATTACCACGAACAGAAATGTTGAAATCGTCCACAAAAAGTGAACCATCAATGCTATTGTTTAATACTTTAGTGAGACTATTAATTTTGATGATGAAAAGGGTGAATAATAGTATGCTGCCTTGAGGACGCCCTGATCTTGATCAAAATGATCAGACAGGGTAGAGCCCACTCGTACTTGAAATTGTCTGTTGTTTAAAAATTGAGATATGAACTGAGGTAATCTGCCCCTCAATCCAAATTCATGCAAATCTTTTAAAATACCATGTTTCCACGTTGTATCATATGCTTTCTCTAGAACGAAAAAGATTGATACAGTATGTTGTCTGTTGACAATGGAATTTTTTTATAAATGATTCTAAACGCACCAAATGGTCAATGGTACTTCTGTTTTTTCGGAAACCACACTGGATGTCACTCAGGAGGTTATTGGTCTCCAGGTACCAGACTAATCGATTGTTGACCATGCGCTCCATGGTTTTACAAACACAGCTAGTTAATGATATTGGACGGTAGTTGGAATGATCTGTATGATCCCGTCCTGGCTTTGGAATAGGAATTATAATAGCATTGTGCCACGAAGAAGGGAAATTTCCTGTTGTCCATATTTCATCAAATATACTAAGTAACGTTTCCAAACCTGAGTCGGGCAAGTGTTTCAGGAGCTGATAGTGGATGTTGTCGGCTCCTGCTGCAGTGTCATGAGATTGCCCTAGGGCAGTAGATAATTCATGGAGTGAAAATGTTTCATTATAGTCCTCACCATTATCAGAGTTAAAATTGACTTTTTTCTTTTCCTGCTGTTTTTGAAACCTCTGAAATTGAGGATTATAGTTTGATGATGAGGAATGATTTGCCAAAGTGTCACCAAGTTTGTTGGCAATTTCGGATTTAGTAGTTAAAAGTGTATTACCATCTTTAAGATGGTGAACTCCAGATTTAGATCCTTTGCCCTTAATCTTTTGAACCATGTTCCACACCTTGAACATAGGTGTGCGGGAATTAATTTTTGAAACATAGTTCCTCCAGGATTCACGTTAATTCTGTTTAAAGGTGCGTCTCGCTTTAGCGCCCGTGATTTTAACATTATTCAAATTGTGGACAGTTGGATGTCGTCGGAAATATTTTTCAGCTTTCTTCCTATTTCTTCTAGCTTGTTTACAATTATTATCGAACCATGGTTTACGTATATGAGGGTTTACAGAGGACTTAGGAATGCTTTCGTCTCCAATAGCATTCAATATATCTGAAAAAAGTTGTATAGGATCAGGAACATTCCTGAAACTTTCGGGTTTTAGTTTTTCAGAACATAGTGTTTGGAATAAAGACCAATCGGCCTTTGTAAAGTTCCACCTTGTTGAAGGTGGTTCGTCAGACGGATTTATAGTTGTAAGTATTGTTGGAAAATGGTCACTTCCACAAAGAATATCATGGACCGACCATTCGAATTCATTTAAAATATTTGAATCTGTCAGTGAAAGGTCAAGGGCAGAGTATGTGCCAGTGGCGGGATGAAGATAGGTATTATTACCATTATTGAAGATGCATAAATCATTGTTTGAGATAAAATCTTCAAGGACTTTTCCCTTATTATTTATGTCAGTACTCCCCCATAGGGGAATATGACCATTTAAATCGCCCATGATGATACAGGGCTTCGGGAGCTGATCGTACAAAGTCTGAAGATCTGATTGACGGATAGTTGAGGAAGGTGGAAGATACAGTGAACACAATGTAAACACTATGTTCAAAGTAACACGGACAGCAACAGCTTGAAGAGTAGTGTTGAGTGGAACAGGGCTATGGATTATGTTCTGCTTCACCAGGATAGAAGAACCTCCTGTAGCCCTATCACCAGGAGGGGAAAACGAGTGGTAAGAACTGTACTGGCGGATATCAAATAGATCTGTGTGTTTCAGATATGTTTCTTGGAGACAAAAAGCTGACGGTTTAAAATTTTGGATCAAAAGTTGTATTTCATGAAAATTCTTCCTGAGACCTCCGCAATTCCATTGTACAATGTTTTGTGGATTCATGGTGGGGCTTTCACAGGAGAAATGTCACGCGAACGTGAGGAAGACTTTGTGGTACTCCTATCGGTATCATATGGAGATGGAGGTATCATATGGTTCCCACCGCAGTTTGAACACTTCACATCCTTCCTTCAAAATGAGACTATAATCAGAATGCTATGTGTGCGATAAAGAGTGTGTTTTTTGGTGTGTTTTTT